GGCATTCTCTCCTGTGGCGACCACGAGCCACCGGCAAATGTACTCGACCTCGTTCCTGGCGGACTCGGAGGTCGACACGGTCTTGACCCGCCACAAGCCGCTGGTCTCGTCGTACCTGGCGGACTGAACGCACTCGTTGAATTTAGGGTTGATCTCGAAGCGGTTGGCGTAGGACTCAAGGTACTGGATGAACTGGCGCTTGGTGGGGTACTCAGGGAAGTCGGCGGGGAAGGGCATTTTGGGCAATTGACAGAATTGCTTGGGGAGATGGAGCTTGAGCCGGTCGTAAGTGCGTTTTTGCCAGAGAGAGGCAATGCACTCTGCTCTCTCCAGCACCACGAAGGGGACGTTCTGCTCGCGGAGACAAGCCGCCGTCGCTAAACCGGACGGTCCGGCTCCGACGATAACCGGTCCGTTGACCCAAATGCACCTGCGAGATGTGAAACCCTCGTGGTCCATCAGGCCAAACAAATTCTCCATTATGATTAAGAACGATTTTGCTCTTCTTCTTTTGTTTGTAGAGAGAGAGAAGAGGGAAGTCTTCAATGGTGGTTTTTGGTTTCGGTTTGGAATGAGAGAAGAGGGAAGTGTTGCGGTGCTTATATAGAGGAGATGCCATGTGCGTTGAAATTCTCATCGGCGATATTAATATATAACTCTCTTAGTATTTGCATTATTTTTATTTTGTATCGCCTTAATAAGCTCTTCTGATATTTATTTATTTATTCTATTTATGATTGCGTAGACCGTCTCATGGATGACTTAAAAAAAGGTTATGATTTATGATGGGAGTAACTACAAGTGTAAATAGTAAAGCTTGAGAATGAAGCTTAGGGGTATTGGGACGACCAAAATTCTACCGACCATTTCCTCATACATACTGGAATTTGTAATGTTTTATTTAAATATTAACTTCTGTCCATTTCGGATTTTGATAAACCCCAAATTTTCTATTTAATATCACCTATAACATTTTTCTGTTTGTTTGAGACCATGGAAAAAATTACACTAGAATGATTAAAAAAAAATGCTATATTAAATCATACATAATAATTGAAATTTTAAAAAAAATGGAATTATAATAGCTTTTAATTGTTGTATGTAAAGGGTAGGCAACTAAAATCAAAGATACTTTCCGTTTATTGGTATAGAGTAACAAAAATCAGAGAGGAAGGGGGAAATCTCATAAGCTTTACCGAAAATGGCGAGGCAATGGGATCCGAGTGACGGAATTAGGGAGCAGCGACGGTGACAGCTAGGATATAGGTATGGGGCCCACATGTACACGTGGAGATGGGATGATGACGTGGAGAGAAGCCACGTGGAGAGGATGATGAGCCAAGCTGTGTGGGACGGGCAACGGGAAAAGGCTGCTTTCTTATTCCCCACATC